AGGTTCATCATGGCAGGCCCTCGAAACCGTCCGTGCCAGCCTGCATCACACCCTCCCCCAAGAGAAGTCGCTCCAGGTACCACATTAGGGTGAGTGAATGAAACATCCGACCAAACACAGCAGGTTAATTTTTAAGTTGATGCTTTTGTATGCCCTGCAAATGATGTTATAAATATCCTCATGGCCCTTGGCAGAAAAAAAAATATTCCCCATCCTGACCTTAGACTAAAGTCAAAATGCCATAATCCTGCATCAGATTGTTTCAGAGCTGAGCGGGGCTGCAGGACCCTTTAGAACAGATGTTCAGGGTAGGGATCAGTGGGTCCTGCTGCAAAGCTCAATCCCGGCTCTCTCGAGAGCTCTAATACTCTATTGTGAGATTATCAGGGTAGCTTCCGTAGAACCCAAGACTCTGCCTTTCAGAGGTTCCCGCAACGGCAAGGGACAGTGTTCATTTCCTGCCTCTGGGCCAAATGCGCAGTCAGTATTTTAGGGAGGCAATTCGATGTTTCTCTGAATTTTCCTCCTATACATTTGGGCATTGCTCCTCTGCTGATTTATCGCATTCAGATTTCAATGATAGTGATAAGAATGAGAGCTTCCAGGGCTTCATCAGCTTGTCGAAACATTTCAGTGGGTATTCCGTCAATTCCTGGAGCCTGGTTTTCCTTTCCCGTCTTCAGTCCAGCAATGGTACTTCAGAACCACTGGTGATGAGTCATATGCTCGCTCTGTGTATTCTGTCCCTCATCCTACATAGTGAAGGATTTCTACATCCTTCTAATTTCGTCCATAGAACCCTTCAATATTGTAGCTTGAGACTGGATTTTTTTTTCTTTAATTCTTTTATCTTGAGATATGTTTGCCATGCCTGGCCTTCCTCTTGTTCCTTTCTAACACCAGGTCTTTCCACATTTCGCTATAGTACTTACCTCATTTGCTTTTCTGAGCTGCCCTTTGAAATTTTCTGGTCAGTTCTGATGCATCCTTCCCAAGGGAACTTTATTTTCATATTTTTATTTTAATAATTTAAAAAAAGAGAAGGCCTCAAATGCCACAACCCAAGGACTCTAACTTTTTACGTTCATACAGAGATGATTGTAAATTTGGTTATGGTGTATCAAACCATGGTATAATATAGTCTTGGTCAGCAGACCTCCCTCTTGACCCAATCTGAACTTGATCTAAGCTCACATATTTCTTTCTTGTTCTACGACAAAAATTTCTTCCCTCGTGTCTTAAATATTGATGGTGGTGTTTTCTTTCTGACTCTTTATTTATAATTTTATCTTTATGTTATTGTTAATTTAGTCTTGCCATTCTGTTTTTTATTGTTTCTGTTGGGTTTCCACGTTTATGAAGCACAGAAAGAGTAGATGCAGAGAGATAATAAATGCCACACTGGTTTATTGGGGAAGTGCTGAGGGTGAGGTGGTTTGGGGAGCAAACAATGAATGCTGGATGGAGGAGTGTGCACTAGAACTGGTTTTGATTATGTTTATACAAGTCATTTTAAAAGTGACTTAACCATGCAAGTGTATGATATGTGAATGCTATATCCAGAAAACCACAAAAAAATGGAAAAGAAAGAAACAAGCAAACAGTATTCTGCCAAGTAATATTGACTCCTAGCGTCTCTATAAACAGAATGGAGCTGTCCCATAGGGCTCATAACGCAGGAACTCGTTAGAACAACAAACTTATTTTGAGTGGCTGGTGACTTTGAACTACTGACTGACCCTTTGGTTAGGAACCAAATCCTTAACTGCTATGCCACCTGGTTCATCTCAAATCATGAGTAACCCTATGAAAATAAGCCTAATTTTCTGAGCATGACTTATCTTTGTTACGTATATAACTCGTTTTATTTTATTGTCTGAAAAGTAATAGAAATTTATCGATAACATTTACAAAACACAAAATAAATGCTGTAAATATAAATCTGTCACAATCTCACTTGCTTCAAATAACAACTGCTAATAGTTTGGTTTATTTTGTTCCAGTCGGTTTGGGTGCATATGTGCATGAAGACATGCGCACAAAAATATGCATGTATTTACCATAAAATTGATACCATATGGTATACACATTTTGTATTCCTTACTATGTGGATTTTGTTTTTGTAAACATGACTTTAAGAATCTGTCTTGCTTTTCATTTCTTGA